TGACAAATTAAATTAACGTCATATCTCGAAAACTATAAAAGGATTTGGGCAGTCATATTTGGCGGCAAGATTCACAAGCCCTGACAGTACCCATCTACAGTGTTGGAAATTTCAAATTTTGTAAAGTTTTTTAAATTTAAGTTTTCTAAATGATTTGAATATTCATAATTGGAGACTTGATTCATAATCCCTGGAGAAACCTGCCAGTATCCCAATATTTGGTTTGCTACTTTCAAACTAGGTGAAAAAACACAAAACTCAAACTGAAAAAAAAATCGAAAAAAAAATCTTAACCATTGGAATAGCTTAAACGTGAAAAAATTCATTCGTTGAACATACAAAAACAAGACGTTGAAAAAGCTTAAACATGGCGAAATAGAGAAGCCCGTATTAAAATGTATGATAGATCGCAACACTGAATTTGTTTGTCAGCCCGCGGAAGCAAGGAACCATGGTTAAAACTATTGAGAAAGTTGTCAAGGGTAATCGACGTCCTACGGCGCACTGCTGTTAATATTGGCAACACGAAGGTCATATCCAACAGACTGTTGTAAAAGCGTCAAGAAACGCAAAGAAACAAAAAACGATTCACTTAAAATCTTCAACTTTCGAACTTCAAAAAAAATAAGTGGTCCAAAACTTTGAATTTCAATATCAATCACCGCCTTTTTTATTAAGTACACCCAATTTGAGTTAAATGGATCAATAGATAAACTTTAATTCCGCTGAGAAATATGAAAAATAAAATCCACACTCGAATCTAGAAGACAATCAAGCCTTTCGTGACATTTACTTTTTTGCTGTTCGATAGCAGGGGGCCACAGTGTCTGAGAAAACGCAGGCACTGATACTCGCACTGATGAAAAGCGCGATGAAAAAACTGGCACTGATACTCATTCGCTGCACTGATACCGTTGTCACCTAGGATAGTGGAGTTTTTCCTGAACTGAATTAATAAAGTATTCAAAATTTGCACGTGATTTGACTTTTTCCTTGAAAAAAAAAATCGTCACGACCTATATAAGAGCCTTGACTACGTTCATTGACTCTTCATAATGCACACGTCACCAATAGATGCCCTAAAATAGACAAAGAAATTGAAGTCGTCGTTGAGTTTTGCTACCTTTAGATCATTATTACTTACAAACGTTCGGCTGATAATGGCATTTCTCACCGTATCAACCTGATTTGGGCTTCCCTTGGCCAATTTCGATAACTGTGAAGTCTAGCTCTGTTAAAAACAAAACCGAATCGTTGAAGCCTGCAAATACACAATTTCTAACTTCGATTGTGAAACGTGGAACTTTCTCAAAGCAGACATTAGAAAAATCTAACACTTCCAAACAAAACTTCGAATGTTCAAATGCTTTCTAACAAAGTCAGGCCCCAGCAGTGGACATGTTTGGCTCATGTCCCAAGGTTAAATGAAGAAGGCTACCGAAAAAGTGCTTTTAAGCCGAACCACAACCCACAGACAAGCTCTCGAACATAAAAGGAGACTGCAAAGCCAAAAGAATATTTTTGAAAATCAGCCGAAAAAAACCACCAGTTTAAAGCTTTCAATATTCACCGAGCGGCCACTAAGCGGACAACAAGTAGGTTAGATGACTATTGAGCCGAAAAAACTCTACATACCTCGAAAAGTTTAACGAGTTGAGCATTTATATTTGGAGGCAAGATTCGCAACCCCTGAGAGTACTTTGACAGCCCCAACCTAAAGGGTTAGGAATTTCAAATTTTGGAAGAAAAAACTTAAATTTAAATTCTGTGAAATTTTGTTTAAAAAATCACAAAACGCCATATTTGTAAAACTAACAAGATTTGAGCAGTCATATTTGGAGGCACGATTCGCAACTTCAGAGAACCTGAGAATACTCTGACAAAGTCATATTTGGAGGCAAAATTTGCATCTCCTGGGAGTTTCCTGAAAGATCCTTACTGTAGAGATGGGAACTTCAAATTTTGCGAAATTTTTCATATCTAAGTTCTTTGAAAAATCTTGAAAAAGTCCTAAAAAAACCGTCATATCTCAAAAACTACAAGGATTTGAGCAGTCATAATCAGAGGCAAGATTCGCAAGTCCTGAGAGTGTAGTCATAGTTTCCAACTACAGAATTGAGATTTTAAAAATTTGAAAACTTTTGAAAAAATCATAAAAAAACGTCATATCTCGAAAACTACAAGGATTTGAGAAGCGAGATTTGGAGGCAAAATTTGCAACCCCTGAGAGTACCCTGACAACCCCAACTACATGGTTGAGAATTTCAATTTCTTTTTAAATTTTCAAAAATTAAGTTTTCCAGAAAATAGCCGTATCTCGTTACCTAAAAGGATTTGGTTACTCATACATGGAGGCCAAAATCACAACACCTTGGGAAACCCTGACAGTATCCCACTATTGGGTTGGTAATTTCAAAATTGATGACATGTACACTGAATTCAAACAGGAAAAATCGACAAAAAAAATCAACCATTGCAATATACAATGTAGCTTAAATATGAAAAAATTCTTTTGTTAACATGCAAAAATAATACGTTGAAAAAGTTTAAACATGGCGAGAAAGTGAAGCCCGCATTTAAATACATAACGGATAGATTTTAAAAAAATGACTGCGTTATCTATTTGCACAACCGCCGGCTAGACTTATCTCATACCTCGAAGCATCAAAACCATGAAACGCTAAAAATGACAATTTTATACAAAACGGACCGCATTTTTGGATTAAACTTTGTTGTCAAAACGTTTAGTCGAGCTTATTCTGTCTTTTTTTTATTTCAAAAAAAATGATCTTTTTTAAAATTCATTAACATTTCCAAGTAATTTCACAGCGTTCATCTTTCTGTCCAACCAAAACTTCTGGAGCAAGTCCAGTCGAAAGCTAGTAAGATTTTTTAAAGTTTTGGCTTCAAACTTTTTAGAGTAAATTCAATAAGTTTTGATCATGATTACTTGGGTAATTATCTTCCGAGCAAATAAGGCAAAATTGAATTAGCGCAATATATTGAAAAAAAACGAGCTGACATATTAACTAAAAATCACTACAAGCAATCCAGCAAAAATTTTAACTTGTTGCTTTGATTGCTAGAAAAATTTTTCCGTGATGATTCCCTTAATAGATCAAGAAATAAGGACAATTAGACCTAGATGTTTAGATGTAAAAATTAAAACAAACAGCAAAAAAAATTTAGATCATAAATTTTATGCCGTATAAATTATGATTGAAATCTGACTTAATGCTTCAAAAAAAATTTAATGCTCAAAATTATTTCAAAGAAATTTAAAAACTTGCAGAGACTTAGCCGAGGCCGAAAATTAACAGAGGTGTAACTGCGATTCGCTAACACTACACAACAAAAAGACAGCTCTAGAATTCTAAAATATGCAATAAGAAAAAGTAAAAATAAGCCTCGAATTAGTAAAAATTCGTTGACATCTCGGACTCGAACCTACGACCTAAGAATCAAGAATATCAGACACTAACCACTCAGCCACGTATCACGGAAGCTTAGACAATCACAAAGACTAACCACAAATAAAGCCGAGAACAGATGCTATGACATTTCCAATGCTACAGATCGTGATTATAGCAAAATGGCACAGAAGTGAACAATTTTAATGAAAACTTTTATTTGCAAGTTAGGTTAAAAAAAAATTCGTACTAAAACACTAGCTGCTCGCTAGCGTAATCAAAAGAAAACAAATCAGTAAGCAAAGTTACACAGCTACTGTTACTTGTCGAAGAAACAGTAATTTCATGAAAAATATAAATACCATTTCTGAGCGTGTAACTTTATCATAACGAAAATAAATTCGCAGGTTCCTCATTGTGAACAAGGATAGCTGATTGATCTGTAGCACAGTATGATTCAGAAAACAAATTCAAACAGAAAAAAACTTTAAAAATCGAAAAAAAGTAAAAATTGTTCTTTTTTGTCCAAATTACCTAAATCTTCTTCCAAACAGGCCAACTGAATCAGGTGAAAAATATAAGAATGAGTTATAATAATAGCTAAAATGAAATTCATATAAAAGAATTGAACTAAGTTCCGTCTCTCACTGCGTGTCATCTGCAAATTTTGTGTCATCTAGATTTAAAAAATCTAGACGGAAAAATTCACTAGTTTTTCTCGAAGCAGATACAAAATTTCGAATTTATTTAGGAATCAGGATTACAACCTATACGCCATAGTATCTTCTTTTCATTTCGTGAATAGGTCGGAACAAAAAATATCATCGACTAGTTCTTCAGATGGTTTCGTCAGAAGTATCGTCGAGTCCTTAATTGCTTAATATGCTAGTTTAGTTAATTAAAAATCTAATTGAAAAATCGGAAGCAAGTTTCGCAACAAAAATAAAAAAAATGGACATCTAAGTTTTACTCATTCACCCAATAACACCCTAGCTTCGTTTTCGCACTAAGATATTTAAAATAATGTTTGGCGAAAATTATCGATAGGTTTCATGGACCATTAAAGAGACGGGAAAACAATAGTTGTGCATTATTTTGGTGACTTGAAAAAAATATATATTGAAAAAAAGATACAGACCGGTTGTCTGGAAGCTTAGAAGTATATTTCTTTAATTTCGTTCCCTTAAAATCTCCTTCAATATACCGCAAATTTAACCTGCGGCCCTTTGAAATAAAATCTTCAATTTATATTTAAAACCGCAAGCGTCTACGTACCTAAATAGAAAGGCTACATTCAACTGCACTTCATTTAATCATGTTACGCAATTAATTTGACTTCTTAGACAGATCGGCATTGTTAAGCCTAAACAACATTCCAGGAAATGCAAATATTATTGCCGCATGTCACCAAAACGGTTTCCGTTTCACCGAAATTATTTCACGGTTTTGTAGCACCGTTCTTTTCATGTTTTAAGAATGGCAGCATGTAAAATAAATAGAACCGGAAATTACAAGGATATGAGTTATTTCTTCCATTTCACTCTTGAGCACACCTGCTTCCTTTGACAATCTGACATGGAAAACTGAAACTCTGAATACGAAAAAAGTGAATTAAAATTATAAAACTATTTATCAAATCGGTCAATCTAATTGCTAATAAATAGACCAGCATTATAATGTATTTGAGAAAATTTATGAGCACAAGACGTTATTCACAAATCAACCTTTAACGCCAATCCGTAGCAACCTAAATTAGATCCATTTTTGTTCCAGGTTCTTGGCCAACTTCGGATCAAGTTCAGCCCTTTCTCCCATTTCAATGGCTTCATTTATTTTGCAAATGTTCAAATTTAGATCTAAGAATAATGCCAATTTACTCAAGTGATCGAAAGTTCTGTCGAAACAATAGCAGGATCAATGGTATTTGCGTTAATCTATTGGCTTTCTTCAGACAAATCAGACATTTGTCGCTCAATTTAAACAATCGCTTTCAACTTAGAGCATATAAGTTCTAATTCAGGTCACAACATGGTCAATATACGGTTCAGATGTTCCATTTTATTATATATACCAAACATTACCAACAGCAAAAAATGAATGCTGCATGAATAATTTTGCGCATATTTTCACCGGATTCCATTGAATGATTGATCGCATGTAATGAATGACTAAGTGGCAGACAGGCAAATTTTCAGATTAGATGAGAGGATGATAGGAAAAAGGGCGACATCAGTTCAACTGATGGTTATTTTCACGCAAAACATCAAAACTTGAGACACATTCTAATTATTTAACTGCATCACTAGGTTTTGTTTAGTTGTGGTAAATTTAACTGGTCCAAATTAAAAAGGGCAAGCAAGCAGTCGTGTATTCAAGTCAACGAAATCAATTTACAATTTTTAACTTATTTGAATGAGAGGAGGGTCTTTTTGTAGCACAAGCATGGGAATAGAAAATGTGTACCACAAGAAGGTACAAAACATCACAGACATTCGCGTCATCAATCTTGCCAATAAATCAAGTCTGTCATAAAAACCACTGTGCTTAACCGGTTAGAGAAAGATGAGCACTTATTGTCCATCGGTGGGGACTAAGAATAATCATAAACAGAGCAATATGGAAGCAATGGGTCAGTAAAATGTGCCGTCTTCAGCACGGATGGAGGAAAAATATTGAAGCCCAATTTTCCACTTAATTTAAATCGCAACAAAAAATGAATGAACTGATCAGCTTCTAAAATCAAAACTAGTGTGAATATTATGATTAAGTACTCATTTTTTCAATGAGTCTATCTGGAACTTGATCAGACAGTTATTAGTAGCTAAATCTACAATTTAAACAAAATATTGTGATTTGAAACTATAACAAAAATTTGAGTATGTTTGATTTCAATCAATAAAAAATAACGGCAATTTTATCAAAATAATTCAAAAGCAATCATCCACATAACTTTAATCGTCACTTCGACTTCAACGAAATATTGTTCTGTTAATACTATCATAAGAGGGGAAATTTTAATACAGAATCAAAATGCCACTACATCTAGACTGTTGCTTCGGATCGGATATAAAACCTCATGCAATGTATCAAAACGAGTTCGAGTCAACACAATCATTCGTCATAAATAAGATACTATTTTCAGTTGTATGTTTAGAATAAGTGAAAACAAATACTGTATTCGACAAACAGGTCAGATGTACCTTGAGAGCACAATCAGATGACAAATTGAAGATTGAAAGGCACAAATCCAACTATTTCACGTGCCAAAATTTTTTTTTTCTCCAAAAACCAGAAGTTATTGTTTCGTATTTTTGTCGTAATAGTAAGCTTCGTCATTTCTTGAACATAGTCTTGATCTTTCTTTTCGGCTTTAGGGAAGGATTCGAGCCATCTACATTAGCCGATGTTGTAGAATTTGCGCCCGTATCCGAATGTAATTGCTCATCCAATAGGCGCTCGCTTTCTAATTTTTGGACCAGCTGATTTTTCTCATCGACCACTTCTATGATCTCTTGAAGCAGCTGTTTCTCTCGTTCGATCTGGGCTTCGCTTTTCTCAGTTTCTTTGACGTTCATCAGTTCTCGGATTTCTTGTTTCAGGTTGTAATGCCTAACGTCCAGTATCAGCTGCTCTCGCATGTAGACGAGTTCTGAAATTTCGGCAGTTTTTGAGTCTAGCTCCTGTTTAATTTCAACCCATTTTTGAGTCAACTCTTGCCTATCTTTCTTCTTTACTTTCTTGTCCGTAACGCTCTTTTCAATTAAGGCTCCTCGCTCGCTGATTGCTTTGAGAAGAATCTCTTTCTCTTCTATCTCGCGTGTCACTCGTTCCAAATTCTGGCACCGGCTAACATGTTCCAAGTTTTCCATTCGTTTTGCAATCAATTCCATCTGCACTAAATCTAGTTCTCTGTTACCATTTTCAACTCCTTTTTTATTCACATTTTCGTTAGATGGTACGTCGTTTTCCAGAACTATCTCAAACGATTGCAGTTTGCCATCCGTAAGCTTCTCCATGGATCTTCGTAAATCCGTTTGCTTGTAGTACGGCAGACCTTTCTCCGAGCTTGCAACTTCATTGTAAAGGTCATCCAAGTCTTTGTTCACACCAGAAGTTCTTCGACCACCACAAAAATCAGTTATTGAGTCTATTTTGGTGTCAAGTGTTCCGGGTAGGTACTTCAACCCCAATTTCAGCTGCATCTGTTTAATTTTCTCTTTCTGTTTGGTCTGTCTTGCTTTCCGATTGCTCTTTAGCATTTCGGCGGCTGCTTTGTTCTCGTGATTGTTCCGAACCGGCGTCTCGGGCCTTGTTTCTGTCTTCTCAGGTGATGCCGGTGCTTTCTTTGGCTTACTGTCGTCAATTTCATTTTTACCTTCCGGTTCAGCCAACGGCGCTTCTTTTATGAGACCGTTTTCTAGCTCGTTCGGTACAGATGAAACTGGTTGACTTTCCACTGGTTTTTCGATCTTTTCAGTTAAAGTGCTCTCGTCATCTGAGATATTTGAGGCCTGAACAGGAACATGTTCTGACCTCCTCTCAACTTTTTCTTTGTCTTTAAAAGACTGAGAAGACTTTCTTTGATTTCCAGAACCAGCGTGCAAACCCAGTTTGGAATCGGATTTATTGTTTTCCTTTAAAGGCATGCTTCCTAGTTTCTCGTTTTTGAGTGTGGCCGATTTGATTCTGAAGTGACCGGCAAAGAAATTCTTTTCTTTTTTCGTGGGCAAATTCGGACTACGACTCTCAGCACCAAGAGTCTTTGTTTTTCCTCCTTGGTCGTCAGAATAAATTGAAGCGTCATTCAAGGCAGACGTTGATTTCTGCTGCTTCAATTTAGACGCCTTTTCTGAAGAAAAACTTGACTTGAATTTCTTAAAAAATTTCATACTACCTGACTTGGGTGACTTTATTTGGGTAGTATCGGAAAGAACTCCTGGGTCGTCGTTTACTTCGATGTCTGTTAGACATACTTGGGGTTTCTTTTCAGGTACTTTATAACTGAGAATCGGTTGGGGTCTCGACTCTAGGAGAGTGACTTTAACAGTCGAGTTGAGCTTCGTGTGCTTCACTTGCTGTGAATCACTACCGCTGGTTGTGGGTTTTTGGGAACCTGGGACCTCTGGCGATATAGGCCCCGACAGGGCGCTCTCACTGTCGGGGGAATTCACAAAAGGGTCCTTCTCGCTAGTTTTACTCGTGACCACAGTAGAATTAGGTCTTCGACTCGCATTTATCTGCTTCGCATCCGAAGTCATGGAAGACGATCGAGATCCAAAAAGAGATGGAAACGTAATCGATGAGCTCGAAGACTTGGTGCTTTGGGACCCTGAAGGCGATTTTGACTTCTTGCTTGGACTTCCAGATGTAACAGGGTTTGAACTTTCAATAGCTTTCGGTGATGTGACTCCTCCAATTGCATTGCTAGGAGGGGGACTGATATTAACACTCAATGGCCGTATCCAGGATTTGTTCTCAATAGACTTATTACTCTCGAGAACTTCTCCAGCTCGTGTCATTTTCTTGGACTCTGTAGCGTTTTGCTGCAAAATGATTTTTCCCGTGTCTTTTGATATTTGAAGGCCGGTTGCTTTGATTGGCACTTGAATAGAACTATTGAACTTATTCTCAACATTCACAGTATTTGCTCCAGGTACTTTTGTAAACTCCTTAGACATGTATGTAGTCATTTTAAAAGGCTTCACAACTGGCTTCGCTGTAGCAGGAGGCGGCGATGTTGGACTCACTGCAGTTGGTTTCGTACTGTTTGTTGCCACTTTGAGGTCACTATCGGGAACCCGTTTGACAATCTCAGTCCCACTAGCTCCTCCTCCAAAATGAGCTGCTTTCAAACTGGCCAATTTTGCTTTTCTATCCGCTCTCTCCTCTTCTCGTGTTTTCGATCCCAAAGCTTTTCTGACGGAGTTCTCGACGTTGACCCTTGGATCAAAAGCAGGCACAGGTGGCGATTCCTTGTCAGCGTATGCAAATTTCTCTTCAGGAGGAGGAGTTATGATGCGCACCTGTTTCAAGGGTTCAGGTTGAGCTGGTTTGTCTTCTCTTTTGTACTGCTTGTAAGTTTGGTCCAATTGTTCCATGAGACTTAAAGCTGAAGATTGCGGAATGAAGTCAAGGGTCTTTTTGACAATCTGTTCCTGCGCTGCAGTTGCTATAGAAGCACCTGTCCCAGACGAGGTTGAAGTCTTTCTTGTCAAATCTTTCTTTTCGATTGAAATTATGTTAGGTTTGGCAGAGTCCGCGTCTCCTGATTTCTCAACATTTTCTGGTGCATCAACCGGCTTTTCGGTCTTCATAGCCGAGTCGGCTGTCGGTCTTTCAGGCGAGTTTTCCGGTTGATTTTGCGCTTCTAGAAAATTACTTCTGATTTTGATTACTTCCCTTCTGTGAACAATACTGCTTTGCGGAGGTGCTGGAGCATCTGGCGAGGTATCTTCCAAATTCTGTCCCATCCTCTTTTCTGGCGACTTGTTGTTATTGCCCCCCAAGAGAACGTCCAGACTCATCGGTTCTGGCTGCACTTCAGTTTTCAGACGCATCACAGCAGACGTGACCTTAGTAATCCGTTCTTTAGTAGGACGAGGTCTTCTCGCTCTCCTTCGAATCATATTCTTTATTTTGTCTCCTTCAACCTCAGTTTCGGAGTCTTCAGTTTGAATTCGTGCCGCACTCATCGGAAGCTTGACCCTCGGCGGCTTCGATTTCTTTCTGACTGGCGATTTCTGCATACTTATTGGTAGCGATTTTGTCATGGGCTCAGTCTCCGAAAACTCTTGAGCAGTGTTTGTGCTACTATCATTAGATGATGACCCTTCTGACTCCGATTTGGTGTTTTCGATTTCAGTTCCACTGTCTTCGTCTTCGTTGTCACTTCTTTCCACTTCCGTGTCACCTTCATCGTCGGCATCATCCTCACTCTCAACTTGCTTCCGCTTGGATCGCATGGCGTCCTTGCCTTTCGCATTTTTCGATTTGTCGTCCTGGGCAGCTTTATTTGGGTGTACACCTGATACGAACATTCTTGCACTGTAAACTTCTCTCCAATTTGTCATTGCATCCTGAGACATGACTGCTGAATCGAGTAAATTACTGGACGTAAAATCAGAGGCTTCGTCACTTGATGCCTCGCTATTGTTGTCCGCCGTTTGGTAACCTGGTCCATAATTGATATCCGACATTTCTTCTTCTGTGAGCTCGCGCTTACTGGCTGGATGAGCTTTGGACACCTCAATTTGAATCCTCTCAACTGGCTTTACAGCCTGCTGGATTGGTATGTCTGTCAACAGCGAGGCCAATCCTCCTCCCGTGCTTCTCTTTTTCTCGCCCACGTTCGACACACTACCCTTATAGCCAGGAAGCTTTTCGGCTGCTTGACTAGGTGGCCCAATGAATCCTTCTGTTCGCCATCTGTAATGAGTGCTGCAATAAAAGTGATTGGATTTATCCTCCTCGCTCTTGAAGTAACTGTACGTTTGTTCAGTCAGAAGTTTCTTGCAGTAGATACATCTGAAGCAACTTCGATGGAAGTATTGGCCTTCCAGCAACATCCGGTCCAGCATCAATACGTCTTCTTTACAATATAGGCATTTCACTTTTTCTGCGCCTGATTTTCTCTGGACCGTCTTTGAACTCTTTGCTGGCGAGTTGGATGGACTTGAAGAGTTGTCGGAAACTTCACCTCCAACATCTTCAGAACCTCCGACTGACCTTAAAGCTCTCCTTGGCCTGTTTGATTTCTTATCAGCACTCTTCGAAGGTTTGAATGTATCGTCATTTAGTGACTCAATCCATTTATTTTCACTCAAGTCCAGCTTGTTGATCTGTCGCGGGTTTTTGGTTTTCGCCGCTGATTTGGGAACTGAGCTTTCTCTGGCAAATAAAGGTATACTGTTATCTCCATTTTTAGAATTGGGCGAAGGATTTACTGAGATATTGCGATAGTGGTGTTGTCTGTGATTGTTTTGTCGGCTCTTTCGCTCGTCTCCCGACCTCGTATTATTCGGCATTGCGAACTCGGAACTGTTGTCTACGATCTTATTATACTTGGGCAGTTGGCTCGCAGGCGTGACGTCGCGAAATCTATGGTATAGAGGCACCAAGATGGAAAGAACTGAGAGTTCGTCTGGAACCTCGGATATGAATTCCGAGTGGGAAATACCTGGATAGATCCCGACTGCTGGCAGCTTGTTGAACACCAATTCGGCCGTTTCGTCAGGCCTTAGAGCCCTCAGTTTGTGAATGTTAATCAGTTCCGGATGGAATATATGCAACAGCACAGCAAATGCTCGCGTATCCTGCCAAGAACGGGTAAGATCTTCAATCTTCACAAAATCCGAATAATTTTTTTCGCACTTGAGAAGTGTCTTCTGCACCCAGTGCAATAAAGCTGTGTTGTCAAGTTGTTTCTGAGGCAAAACATCACCTTGAGAGTCCTTTGACTGTTCGGGATCATCCGTAATGAACAACTTATTCACGTCCCTGAGAGAAGGCATGCTCAAACTCGGGTATCTGGCGGCTGGATCTAAAGGATAAAACTGTCTTGCAGGCAATGATTTGAGTCGGTCAGATGAAAGCAACGTAAAAAGGCTTTTATAAGAAGCTTCATGCTCCGATAGAATTTGATTCACGCTACAAGATCCACTGCTCCAGTTTTTCACTGTCCAAGCAGCGTCAAACGCACTCAAGAAACCTTTCCCGATTCCGGAACCCGTAGGCCAAAAAGGTTCTATGAGCGAATCTCCCACCATCATTTTGAGCAAAAATTTACCATGCTTTTTGTATACCCGAGCTGCATTGTCAGCGTAATACATGGAAGTGAAGTCAAACATTGCGACATCAGGTTGATTGTAATGGTTTTTAGCAAAGTTCAAAGGCAGCGCATTGTCTGTAGCGACCGCTGCTGCATCATGTGCAAACTTCAGAAGGTCTTCTTGGCTAATATTCGATTCAGCCAATAGCATATCAGTCTCTGCGTAGTCCGATATTAATACACCTCGCTCCAGTAAACTCGACTTGTGGGCTGTCATGATGAAATAATGTGTCGCATCTTTGTAATAGACGACATTCTCTAAATTGATTTTCTGCATTGCTAACTTCCGGAACAAATCTGGCTTTGCATAGGAAGTCACACCTGCTATTTCCGGCACGCAGTTTTCCTCGTTTGTGTGTCCGTTTTTGAAGTTTGCAGTGATAGCTATTGCTAGTTTAGCACGATTAGCGTACCTTTTGAAATCCGCGAACGAATTCCTGCGACCATCGGCACCAATGAGAACGTCGAACGTGTACTCACTCAGTCGTTTTTCTGTCTCAGGATCCGCCGACGTTAAACGTGCTCTCCACAGTTCGTCTTCTGATTCTGGCATTATTACATCTTCATACGAGACTGAGTGGTGAATTTCGACTCCCAGCAGTAGTGCAATCTTCAGGAGTATCAACTGAAGCTGCCTGATGCTGATATGGTCAATGGAGGATATACAAAACTTTTTGTACAGCTTTTTAGCACCCAGAGAGGTCAAGTCTCTGATGACGACGTCCCACAGATGTAGAACATTGTTCCTTGTGAACGCGTCTCGTTTCTCCACTAAAACTACTTTCGCACCCAGAAAAGCACACTCCACGGCAGTTCGAAGCCCACAGGGACCTGCCCCTATAACGAGAACTTTAGAATTGATGGCCGCATTTCCCTTCTGGTAAACGGGCTCACCTGCGCGCTTCGACAGTTTAGCCCACAGATGTTTCGCTCTCCACGTTAGCACCAAAGAACTGAGTTTGGTGTAAAACTGCCTGTGGTCCGCATTTGGATCAATATTAAGAGTGTTGCATAGACGTTTGAACGCTTTAAGAGTGCCTTTAAATGTGCAAGCATTAACTAGTTCTTCAAATACGTTTTGACCACTGAGTTTTTCTTCGGGCGATCCTAAAAGAGGCTCTGTGATCGTTTCATTCAATGGCAATTTGGATGGAGAGGAATCTAGATTCTGAGTTTCGGACAACCCGTTAGACAGTTCGGCAGTTACCGGAAGATCCTCCTCTAATCCAGTTTCCGTGGATTCATGGTCGACAGAGTCATCCATATAGTCATCAAATTTATTACCACAAAATAAATCTGAAATCAAGATAAAAGCTTTAAAAAATTTAGAAAATCTAATTTGAAAGCTTTTTGAAAAACTGTTTTGAGTACAAAATCAGAAATGTTGCACTGATTTACTATCTAAAGCCTGATTTGTCAATTATTATTGGTTTTCTGGTTTGTTATTTATTTACACCAGCTTTTGTAACATTGATAACAGGATCTTCATTTCCAGTTGATAATCAACAAAACTGCTGCGGCTACAAAAGCGAAAAAAGCAGGGATGACTTTTAACCCTGAGCACCTGCAAAATCATTGAATTATTTCTCCAGAAATGATTATGTTTTAACTACCACAGCAAAAAATTTTAGATAGTTCGTGATATTTTCTCAACAAAGTATGGAAAGCGCAACCACTCGCTGGTTGTTTTCCATAAAAATCGAAAAAATCTCAATTTTGGAATTTCCCAGAAAAAAGTAGATGCCCCTAAAGCTCTTTGAAATTCTATAACAATTTATGACTGGCACTCTTTCAATTCGCAATCTTTAAATAAGCAAAAGGCGCTTATGCAGAAAAGTTCAAGCAATCTTTATTTTCAATTAAAACAAAAATCTCAGACTTGGGAGGGTAGTTTTCGAGAAAATTTTTTTAAAAGTCAAAAACAGTAAAACAAATCAAAAGTTTGACTTCTCCGAAAATTATAGCTTATTGTGTTAAAAATTAGAAGTGATCGCTAACGCAGAGGAGCTTCCCACCACTATTACCTCCATTGAACCCACAATCTCAAATTTAAGAAGGGAAGTTTCGAGAACCCGGTTGCAAAACTAGACCAAAAAAAGAGTTTAAACACAGAGGCGAAGCTGAGCTTCGCACCACGTGCAATTCAATACTCAAAAAATGGTCGAAAACCTTCAAGTCGAAAAAATTAATCGAAAAACTCAGAAAAGTCGAAAAAACTAGATCTACTCTAGAAACCAAAAAATAGGAATAATACAAAAGAATTTAAGCACTTACCATCAAAAAAACTTAAAAGGCGGTAGAAAACCGAAAATGTCTGAGCAGAAACCCTTTAAGTAAAAAAAAAACGACAAAAAATCGGAAAAAATTCAAAACGCACACTCATGCACACAAAAAAGTTTTTCTTCTACGAAAGTTTTTCAAATGATGCAATATGGGGCCACTAAGCCGACATAAAATAATTCGAGAAAAAAAGGAAAATAAAAAAATGAAGTTTTAACAAAGCGAATTGGTAAAATTACAACCAACATAAAAACAAATTTCGAATAAGCCGCATACTTGAAATGCTAACATACTAAAAATATCTCTAATGAGACACAAAAGGCCTGATGGATGACTGAAGCCAGTATCCATGAATGTTGTCCTTGGCCTAAATTTTTTACAAGAAAAAAGTCTAGTACCCTACGAAAATTATGTTCGATGAATTCTGTGCTACTTTCCATTGAGCAACTTTGTCGTTATAATTTTCGGGGTCCTTCAACAAACACGTTTCCACTTTCCAGCATCCATTTTTGACAGACTTAGATTTAACAAGTAAAAATACAGAATGGATGATATTAATGCCCTCTACTGCTACGAAAATTATGTTCGAAGAATTCTGTGCTACTTTCCATTGAGCAACTTTGTCGTTATAATTTTCGGGGTCCTTCAACAAACACGTTTCCACTTTCCAGCATCCATTTTTGACGGACTTAGATTTAACAAGTAAAAATACAGAATGGATGATATTAATGCGCTCTACTTGATATTGATGAGCTCAAAAATAAGAAAACATTTCACTTGTAATCATTTTTGGTAGCTATGAGGGTTTGAAAATTACTAGTATGAGATAATTGACGCGCGATTTAGCGTAAGCCGCGAACTAATCCGTCTCATAAACGGATGCAACTTGAATTGAGGCAAGCTATTTCGTCAAATAGACACGTTAATAGATGCGAAATTCATCATTTTGTCCTTAACACAAAACATCGGGACAGTTTTTACAAAAAAAATTCCTAATTTTTTAAAATGAAAAACTACTTCATAGCGTTGAAGGACAGTCCGAAAATTCAGGTTTTTTCCCCCTGGTACGAGCAATTTTGTTTACCCATAAAATTGATAGACGTGCAGAATTTCAATGTTTTTAGCGTTAAAAACATCGCTAATGAACAGACTTGAATAACAAATCAGTCCTGTAACTGAGAATAGAATCAAAGGGCGGTGAGTGGTGACAAGTGGCTGGTTCCTTTCTCAATCCAGAGAGAGGTGGTTTGAGTTTCACCTTGATAAGAGTTTCTGCATAAAAGAAAGGCATTATTGTAAACCATCCCTAACAAAAGACGCATATCGGGCTTAATCAGCGCATATTTTAAGCCACTTGCTCTCGCAAGTTAAATACTAAAAAGTTCAATAGGAGACAATTAACGCACACAACTTAAATTCTTATCTTGAAGGAAAATGTATACACCTCAAAAGTCATCGGTTTTTTTCATGTTGAAACCTCCTTGCAGTAATCTTAGTCAAATACCTACTTAATACTGCTTTTAGTGAAATCAATTACAAATCGGTACGTTAACATTTCAATTTAGCGTAACAATGAAGTAGTAAATTTTTAGTCTTAACATTTAATTTCCACCATGAAATATATGGTTTAGGTTACTTCTCCGTTCAAATGGTTGGTATAATTGATGCAGTTATATATCCAAAATCACATTCACTGGAGAGTTTTTTTAGACCACCGCCGACCGTAACATGTTCACGCCGGGGGAATTGCCGCCAACCCCTTTGAATTCGAATGAATGGGCATAAAAACAAGTTCCTTTTGTAGAAGCGAGTTATCAATGCATAACGGTTTTTTAAAATACTATTTGGTTGCATGTATGTAAAGTCGATATCTATACGCACGTTGAGATTACATACTTTTCTCTGGCTGTAAAACCGTTGGATATTTATTTTCGCTAATCTACAAATAGGAGAGACAAAACATCAATGATTACTGGTCTGGTAGTATGCGCCACAGAACATAATGCCGGAACTTGATACCTGAACCATTTGCGTTTTACGAATAACAAAACTGATTCAATTTGATATACTTTAAAATGCCGTAGAAGAAAGATTAACCCGCCCACCCCAATCTATACGACTTAAAAAATAAATAAAAAATAGAAGTACTATTTTCAAGATCTTGAGTTTGGTAGGAAAACTGAGATCACCTCAATTCTTTTTATGACTGACACATTTTTGTTTAACTAATCAAAATGAAGAAAACTGAAAAATATATAATTTTGTTTTAAACAGCGCATGAAAAAAACTTTGAAACAAAATCAATAAATAATTCATTAACCCATGGGCGAAGCCAATCTGTGTTTCTCAATTAACACAGTGGTTGGGTTTTGGGTTGATCATAATTCAAAAAAAATCAGAACATCCAATACTTTTTCTACTTGGCTTCTTCCAGAAGATTCAAATTATTGCCAAAAAGAGGAAGCGTGAACTCGCGCAAAGTGCGATGCAACACCAAACATAGCCAACTGACAGTTGCAAGAAAAGAACGCAAATAACCATAACAAAACAACTTTCGAATTTCAAAGAAAAAAAATAGATACACTTTCAACTCTTTGAATTTCTAGAACAATTTATGATTGGCGCTTTCTCGATAAAATTAACCCAACTTTAGAAAACTAGATCAAAAAGTAATTTTTATATTTTGCTGTGAAATAACTTTCCATTTTCGAAACCAGAAGCCAATCACGTTTTTTTTAGCCATTTTAACTTTCGCTCTTCCATAGTGGAGTTTCAGGAACTTTTTATGATTGACATCTTTTTGATTGGCTAACCAGCAATCATGATTGGCTAGCCATCAACAGGATCATAAAATATAATTTTTATTCCACTGGGAAATCAAATTTCGAATCTGAAATTCATTCAGAATTCTTCACGCCATTTCCACGTGGTTTAGTGAAGAACGTAATTTGCCTTCGTTTAAGCAAATGAATTTGAATTGAGCTTGAAAAAAACCAGGAGCCAAACAGTAAAAAATCATGTGCTAGAACTTTCCAGAATTTCCTGAAACAAAAAAAAATCAGCACTACTGATGAGTGTCTCACTACGTTCATTGTACTTGAAAGTTCAAAAAATTTCACAAATAACAGATAAATTTACACTTCTTAGATTAACACAGCCGCTCTTCAGGTAGAGCATTTGATTTTGGTGTCAGCAATAGCATCCACAAAACAAATTTCTAAAAAAAGATAAACGTTCCATAACTCATTATTCAAACTTTACTTGTCGTTCCAACTAATCGTCCACAACGTTTACAATAATGCGACAAAATCGGTAAATTATCAGCAAAAGTTACTGATATGAGAAAACAGGATCAACAGATAGTTTTTAGTTTTTAACCTACTGGAAACCTAAAAACTAAATTCCACTCTCGAAACTAGAAATTGTTCGCCGTTTTTTTTGCGCCATTTACACGTTCGTATTGAGAGAAAGCTATTTACGTTAATTTCAATTGAACTCAAAAAGAGCGTATAAACCTAAGTGCGTTCATAAATGCCTTAATATGTATGAATGCACATCTGTAGCTATTAGAGCATTTCAAGACTTTCAATAAAAAAAATCAGCAGAACCTATATAAGCCTATGCAACAATTACAATCAATAAGGTCTCATCTAATTTAAGAGGAGGATAGGCAATCTTCGCCGTGACAAAATTCAGACATCAAACGACACAACAGAATCTCGATTGACCTCACTCGTTTTGCTATTACAACACCGCATGGACTCCGAATGAGTAGTAGTATCTATATTTAACTCTGGCAAGCCCACAAAGCTAAGGCGGTTAAGATGAGGGGTTATTTGGAACAATTAAAAATATGAGGAGTCATTATGTGGGGAAGGACAGTATGGGCCGCGTTCGGGTAAGTTCGATTCAGGTACTTACTCCGGAAAGGGCTGTACCCGGATCTCAACAGGGAAAAAGTCTTTCTAGTCCAATAACGAAAAAAATTTTCGGTGTTGAGATTTCAGGTGAT